CCTCTAAACTTTCGAACGTGCCCTTCGCATGAGACATTTCTTTTTCAACCCTTCGATTGCTCTTTTTGTTGTGTCTCCATCAGACATATAGATGAATCAAAAGAAAAGAAAATTCAATTTTCATGACAAGGGGTGAAAAAGAAATGTCTCATGCGAAGGGCACGTTCGAAAGTTTAGAGGTGAATCGAAACAAAGCAAAAAGAAGAAGAATATTTAAACTCTGTTAGTACATTCGTAGCTCGTTGGTTATCTAATGAGAGTGAAAATCAACATCCTGAGTATACAATGATGGCACACCCAACGATTAACTCATCGTATTCTCGTTGTCCACGTGTCAATAAGATTGATACATTGAACGGAAAGATACATGTACATGCGTACAATGTATCATCAAATTAAATAAGCAAGATATCATTGTATATTTTTCGTATGTATATACGAAAGAAAAAACGATAGATAAACACATCATTTAATTATGTTCAATATTAGATTTTTTTTTCTTTCTTTTTTTTATCTATATATATATTAATAAGAAAAATAGATTTGTTTTGATTGTATGTTGTCGGCACAGGAAATAGCGCATATTTAGATAATTGAAAGAAAATTATATCGCAGATTGTTGTCGTGCGCGCCATATTTAAAAGTTGATAAAAGAACGTCTGTGTATTGACGTAAAGATGAACTGACCAAATACTAATAATATTCTTCTTTGTTTTTTTCAATTCGATTAGGTACACTTGCACAAAATGCCGCTATGTATATTTATTGACTATCGGAAATCGTTCATCAAAAGTAGTCAACACAATCAGCAAGTCAGATCAATCGCTGTTCAATGAGTCAACAAGCAAAGAAATGAGAAAAAAAAAGAAGAAAAAAAAAGTGACGATCAGTCATGCAGAACAAAAGTACATATGTATGAATTGATATAAGTTAAGAAGTAAAAAAAAAACTACGAAAGAGACAATGAAAGTTGTTCGACAGATCGTTGAAAAATTATGTGTTATAATAACAATTATTCTTATTTACGAGAATGCACTTGTTTTTTATCAACATCTATTTCCCTATTGGTGGTTTAATGGACTTTATGGACGATTTTTTTTTAGTTTAATTGTCGGACATTGGTTATTAATTAATACAGTAAGACATTATTATTTAGCAATTTCAAAATCGCCAGGTTTTGTTGTGGATTTAAAAAAAGAACCATCTACACAAGAAGTATTAAATTATACGAAATGTTTAAAATGTAATGTAATGAGACCACCAAGAGCACATCATTGTAAAATCTGTCAAAAATGTGTTCTCCGTTTTGATCATCATTGTAAGTGTACAATGAATCATAATTGTGGTTTAGTATCTCTTTTTAAATTTTATTTTTGATTAGGTCCTTGGATTAATAATTGTGTTGGATATCGAAACCATGCCCATTTTCTTTTATTTTGTATTTATATGGCGATGATCGCAGCCTTTTCTACTATTGTTGGACAACGACAATTTCAATTAGTAATATTTCATGATGAAGTACTCTTTGGTTTATTCGATCCTCTTCTTAAAACATACAATATGACTGTAGCTATTATAGAACACAAGACAATAGGTCCTATTACTGGTGTATTGACACTTTTTCTTTTTATTCTTAATCTTGTTGCAATGGGTCTTGTATTAAGTTTAACTCTATGGCAAATGAGTCTTATAACAAAAGGTCAAACTTGTGTTGAAGAAAAGATTGATAAGGCCATCATGACTAATTCAAAACAACGACGACAATATGATCTTGGTTGGAAACAAAATTGGAAAACATTTTTTGAAGTAAATACTTATTCTGAACTTTTAGTTCGATTATTAATACCTTATTCATTTCAACCAAAACACGATGGTACACAATGGATATCAAAAAATGATAAATAAATAAATTTTATCATGTTTTTATATTCTTATTTAATCGCTCGAAAATCAAATAAAAACTATTACATTTTAATATAAATCACAATATGAAAAAATAAGTATAAATAAAAAGATAAAATAATATTGATATGTAATGAAAGTTGCTTTACTCGGAAATGTAATTGAAGTTTCACTAAAATAAGTAAAGATATGAATGAAATAGAAGTTTAATGTACTTACTTTACTGCTTCAATTAATGTACTATTATATTCTCGTGTTTGAATATACAAAGGAATTTTATCGTAATTTTTAAGTTCTTCTTCAATACTGTTTATTGCCGTAATGGCAAATGTCATAGATCCACTCGTTGTATTGATACTATCATTAATGTTATTTTTTTCTAACCATTTATCGATAGTAATATCTAAAGTATCATCAATGGAACTCATATTAGCAACAGTATACTCGCGACATAGTCCATTTAAATCGATTAATTGTAGTGTATCAAGTACACACATACGAATTATTAGAGTTTCTTGAGCATGATTATAGATTGTGAACGCGACGGAAGTTGTTGAATTATTTGTAAGTGTATATGGTTGATTAATAATAGAGATTGAAATTGAAGTAGGTGATATAAGAACATTATTTTGTCTTTGTATTCTTGAACCATCTTTTAACTGAATTTTAGTTAATATACGAAAAGTAGTATTAGGTATTATTGTTATAGGAGAAATGACTGATCCAGTTATTGTTATTGTTGATGTATTCAAAATTGATATAATTTTATCTTGTTGATTTACCATTTCGATAGTAATTAATTGAATAGGTGATTGAAGATTGTTACATAACGTAACGAAAACAAGATCTGATTGATTCACAATTGGTTATACCTCATAGAATAAATCTAATGATCGGTAATCCGAGCCTCAAGATATATATTTATCAGCATACGTCTGAGTCATATCTGTTCTTTTTATGGCAAAAAAAGGGATTTATTTTTATATCATATACTTCCTTTTGATTTACAAAATCATGAAGACTGTGTATCAATGATTACTAATTTTTAAATATTAAATATACATCTCTCATACATAGATTTTTCTTCGTTTCGAAAGAATATATATTAAATGTCTTTATTTGAATAACATTAAATCAATACAAATGTATGTTTTTAACGACCGAGCATAAATTGAAATACAGACGGCGCTTGTTGTACCTGTTGATCGGTAGCCGTAAGAATTTTTTTGGGTCGTGGCACTTTTTTACTTGATGAAGTAATTGAATCCATGGTCGATGATCTTTGTCGTTGTTCAGATATGTTTGCGAATCTATTAACGGATGGGAAACTTGATGGTGGTGGACTATGTCTACCATGCTGTGTCGTTGTATTTGCTCGTTGACGTCGAAAAGATTCCTCATGAGACCCATGAGATGTTGTAATATTCGTCAAATTTTTGCTAAACCAATGTTTAATTGAATGACTTCGACTTCTTGGTTCATCCTTAAAATAAAGAATACAATAAAAATATAGTGTAACGGAAGTATCATACGGATGTATTGGTAGGTGCTGATTGTAAGATATTATATTTATTCTTTTTTGCTGTTATGTCAGATAAGTACCCATCAGTTGATTGATTAGCAGTATTTGAATGTTGGTTGGCTTCCATCTTAGTCTCTATCTAACTTTAGTAGATCGACTATGAAGAAAAAAACACCTTATAAATAAGTAAGAAAGTGTTGACAATATTATCATTTTATATAGATAAAAAGAAAAATGAAAGTAGGAGCAGACATGTGACAAAAATTCACTGTATCAAAGGTTAATATTATAGACAAGAAATTTATGTCGGTGCAATCTTAAATGAAAGGAAGACAGCGATATCTATTGAAAAGCATTTTAATTGCTAAATAAATTCCGAAATAGATTTCGATCGATTGAATATAGAATTTTTTCTTTTGAGAAAATAATTATGGTTAGAAATCGTAAACTTAAAAGATTAGAACATTCATCTCAAAAGGTACAACGAAATTATGATCAACAAAACTATTGGAATAATCGTTATGAAGCTAAATTAAAAGGAAAAATTGTCGATGAAGATGATGATCATACAGATGAATGGTATTTCTCTTATTCAGATGTATCAGATGTATTAAAATCATATTTAAAACAATTTCATCGACAATCTCCTATACTTGATATTGGATGTGGTTTATCGAATATATTAAATGAATTATCAAAAGATCATTTTATCGGTCCATTTGTTGGTATTGATTATTCTTCTATTGTTATTAATCAATGTAAAAAGATAAAGAAAAATTCTAAGTATCATTATTTAACATTAGATATGATGCAAAAACAAAAACCATCTTTACCATTTAATACATTTGGTATTATTATTGATAAAGGAACAACTGATGGAATTCTTTGTAATAAATCACATCTATCAACTATTTCAAATATGTATAAACATGCATCAAGTTTATTATTATCAAATGGTCTTTTTATTATAATTACAATAAAAACTGTTGATGATAAAGATTGGTTTGAAGATTGTCTTATACCAGCCCTCATGCAAGGTAGTGAAAATCAACAAACAAAATTTATTATTCATTTTCATCGTTGTATGCAATATACAGATGGTAGTGAGAATGGTCCTAATATATTTGTCATTGTTAAATACGATTGTAAATCGTATTCATTGCGTTCATCAGCAAATCGAGTAAAACAAGATTTATCTCAAATAGTAACTGTTAAATGTTACTAGACATATAAAAATAAATAAATACAAGAAATATATCGTTTGTTTTCTGTCTTTTTTCTTTATTTGATTCATCATAGGAAATATTAATGATATGACGTATATTTTTATGTTTTTAATAATATTTAGAGTAAAAGAATCATGATATGATAAAAAAAAGGCACTTGATTTTATCTTATATGTCGTATTCAACAGATAATAGACTCTCATACTTCGTAGTTTCTATTCTTTAAACTATATTGATAATCAACAATGAACTTTATCGGTAAACTGAAATAGAATATGAATGAATGTAAATTTATAGATAAGAATTTCTCTCTTTTTATTTATTTAAACAATTCTTCGTACTTTTTATAATATTATCCCTATTCTTATTGAATATTTTATTCTACAATAGTACATATTTATCAAAAAAAAAAATAACATCTATCTACATAAATAATGAGATAATTAGAAAAGAAGAAATATGACCTAAATTGTAAACATTTGTTCATTATCAAGTTTTTTAGACAAACAAAAGACATATTGCAAAAAAACAAACAGATGTACACATATAAGCAAATTTTAAGATGTATAACAAGTTAGTATTCTTTGTTTTGATCGTCACTGTTTCACGATAAATCAATTTGAAAGACATTATCAATCAAGAAAAAGCAATAAGCGAATAAATGAATAAATAATATACAAAGAGTACAAATAAAGAAAGCTAGGAATGTAAAGTAAAAAAAAAAAAGAGATTTTTGTTTTCGTCAATATTTTAACTCAATTTAAGAATATCATCAAATAATGCTTTAGCTGTACGGGCAATATTAACAGCATGCTCATTCATGTTATCATAATTACGTTGTCGAACAGTTTCAATTAATGAAACAACTAGAGATGAAAAATGATTATAACGTTGTTCAGACTAGAAATGAAAATAATTCAATTTAATGAAAAGAAAAGAAAAGAAAACTATTTACCATTTGTTTAATAGATGTAGGTGCATAATCAAGTGTTTGTAAAAGATCACGAACAGCAATAGCAATATTTCGAACTAATTGCATTTGTTCTTTATCACTAATAGGTGATAATGGACGATTATTTTTTGATAAATTTCCATTATTATGACTCATTTCATATTGTCGAGTTAATGCAAGTACAGCACCAACAATTTGTTTTGTTTGTGAATGAAATAAATCAACTAATAATGATGATGGTGTTGATATTTTCTCTTTTGATTTTGTTGATTTCATCTCTTGAGATTCTTTAGGTTCGTATAATGTGGGCTAAATAATGAATGATAAAAGTTTCATAATGAAATTAAATTCTTAAGTAAAATTACTTTAATGTCAATTGAAGTACGATATTGAAAGTTGTGACTAGATTCACTTCGTCCTGTAGTTATCTTGTTATTACCAACTAAAAAAATAAACAAATATCAATATTTTTAGTTTTAGAATCTATATGAAGCCTTCCTTTACATAATACTAATTACAAATAGTCATGGTCAAGAATTTTGAAATATAGATCTATATCGGTAGAAATTACATCACAATTTTTGAACATAGAGTACACTCTATTGCAAAATCAACTGAATAAATTCAATGTTTTTATTTGAGTGAACCACTTAAAATAGTTAAGTATGCATCGAGAATTCTTCAATTCACATTACTACTCAACTGAGCATGAGAGTGCTAAATATTATAAAAATTTCTTCAATTAAAACTAACTTGGTACTCGAGTATTTGGAAATCCATTTTTATACGGTAAAGCTGGTTTCGGTGGTACATGATCATCGATTGATGGTAATAAGATCAATGACGAAGCTGCTGTTGATGTATTCGATTTTGATATTGATAAAGTTTGTTCATTTACATATATACGATCTTTAGAATGTGCTTGTGAATGACTATTCATTTGTTCTTCATTTAAAATTATTCTAAATTATTATTATAATTAATTATTATTTAGAAGAAAGAGTAATCTATATTTAGTACTTTAAACGTGATTCTATTTGAAGGAATGTTGGTCGATTTGTTGGTTCATATGCCCAACAATCTTGTAATAAATCAAATAAACGTTTCGGACAATAAGCACCGGGTAGAGGTAATCGAACACCATTTTCAATTTGATCAATAACATCATTATTCGCAATACCTTGAAATGGTTTTTTACCCATTGTTAAAATTTCCCACATACAAACACCAAACATCCAAACATCCGATAAATGAGTAAAACGACGAAAATTTATTGATTCCGGTGCCATCCACTTTATTGGTAATTTACCTTTAGATGCTTTAAGAAAAAAAAATTAATAAATATATAATTTATATTTAATTGTATTACCTTTATAATATGAATTATCAAGTGTTAATTGTCTTGAAAGGCCAAAATCAGCTAATTTAACTGATTCATGGTTTGATACAAGAACATTTCTTGCAGCAATATCACTATTAAATAAAACAATAAAGTTTAATTTTTGCTTCCAAATAATAAATTCTTACCGATGGACAAATTTTTTTGATTCAAGATAGGCAAGTGCTGATGATAATTGTTCACAATAAAGCAACAATGTTATTAAATCAAAATCAGATCGATTTGCAACTAAATAAGCTCGGAGCTAAAATATATAATATATTTGTATTGAATGAAACTAAGAATAAAATTCAAACCTCGCCTAATCTTGCTAATTCCATAATAAGTAAGACAGGTTGTTCAGTACAAACACCAATTAGTTTTATTATACGTGGATGTTCAAATTTTTGCATAACATCTTTTTTAAAATAATATATAAAATGATTTTTTACGAATAAAAAATGAAAATTATTTACATGCTTCTTCTAAAAATGCGTCTGTTGTTGCTGAATCTTGCATTTTACATGTTTTGATTGCAATATTTATTTCTATTTGTTGATCAGTCTATATCAAGATAAGAATAGTAAATTATTTATTATATTGTTTTTTTTTACTCGAAGTATTCCACGATAAACTTCACCAAATTGACCATTACCTAGTGATTCAATCATATGTATTTGTCTACGATCAATATGATAATCAGATGATAAAACATCAGCATAATCTCCATTTATATCATCATTATCAGTATCAGCTGAAATAAAAACAAATACAGAAATTTTACAATGAATAATTAACAAGAAAGTAATACTTTGTGATAATGGAATATCTAATGAATAATGAACAGGAAGAATAGGTGCCGATGATCCTCGTAATGTTACTAAATATTGATCTTCAGCCATTGATCGCCAAAGTGAATGTACACTATGATTGACAAGCATACAATAACCATCGATAAGAATAGCGACTTCATTAGCATCGGAAAGAGATGGAAAGCTAAGTGTTAAAGTCTACATGAAAATGTTTTTATGAATATAAAATTAGATTTGAAATAACAAAATGAAACCTCTGATGATCCAGCAATGGTTAATTTAAGTAAGCCACGTTCATCTGTATTAGTTTTCATTGTAACTATGGAAAGAACATCTTCAAATGAAACCATTTTAGTTAACTATATAGAATATGAACAATAAACAAATTAACAAACACAAAAAAATATCAAACTTTACTTTAGTAAAATTTTGAGTTCGATAACTGATACCATCTGACGGGCCAAGAGCAAGATTTATTGGTACTGCCCATTCAGCCTATACAAAAACAAATAGTAATTAATCAATATGTATCAAACTATTCAAATCAGTAGCCATCATATACTTACACCAAGATTACATGTATATACTTCCTGTTCCCAATTCCAAACATCTTTTAATAAAAAACAAAAACGTTTCACACATTCTTCTTCAGCTAAACCTTCGTATTTTTTGAGACATGCTTTAATACATTTTCGTAGAACTCTTGGCTGTATAGAAGAAAAAAGAAGCAATTGAAATAATATTTTTAAAATTTTCAATAACAAACTTTATGAGAACTAATAACAGATTGTGGAAAAAATCTTTTTAAACCAAGTTCTTTTTCCAAATAATCAACATTCACTTTTTTATCTAATGCTGTTGGATTAAGATCTTTAAATAGTTTACGTATTTCGAGTGAACCTAATTCAATAGCTTCATTCATTGATACATATTCTGATTTTAATCGCATATAATCAATACGAAGCTAATTAAAATAAAATTATATATATATTTCAATATTAAAAACAAAATATGCATATGAATATACTTGTTCATAGAAATATCCAAATGTAGGTTTGTCATTTGATAATGCATCGATTGATTGTGGAAAATATCGAAGACGAAGTTCAAGTCTATAAATATTTAAATAATAGAAGACAAGCTAAAGATTAATATTAATTTTTTACTTTAATTCATCGATTGGTCCATAGATTCGGTGTACTTTTTCCATTGTCATATTTGAATGAAGCCATTTATCAGAAAGAATTGTTTTATCTGATGAAGATGATATTCTTACGTTTGTTATTGTTTGCTCTTTACCAATATATGTTACACGCAATGCATATGATAAATGAAATATCAATTCATTTGGTGAAAGACGACCTTTCAATACTGTTCGAATAAGCTCCTAAAACAATATATTATCTATCAAAATAATCAATCTTATCAATAGTGCATACAGCAACAGTTGTCGATGATGTATAACGAATTCCATGAAAAGAACCATTAGGAAAATAAATTTTAAGAAAGGTATTTTTATCCATATTTATATCAGCATTACCAATGCCGATACAAAACAATACACACGTGTTCTTATTAAAGTCAATCATCGAGAAAACATATTTAATGGTTCATTGCAAAAACCAAACAATGTTCAATATTCAATTATTAATCTATTAATAAATATTTTTTTAATTCATTTTACGAATGTATTTGATTTTAATGTTTATTATTTGATATTTAAATAAAATTTAAAAAAAGATGTCGCTCTTATTCAATCTGTTTTATACTTGAATCGCGATCATTACCTTTATATGTACCTTCTTGTTCGATGTAACAAAGTATCATTTTTTATCCACAACTAAAAGGAAAAGATCATATTA